AATAAAACATTAATGGAGCCACAAAGATTAAGTATCATATCAATACAAAAATCACTAAAATGTATATTAACTTTATAACAAAAAAAGGAAAATTTGCATGCATACCCCTCAATTCTTATGTATTTACATACATCTAAACTTCAAGTTTTACATATACATATATGACGCCTTATCCATGCATGAAAATATTTGTTTCACTTTTTAAGAGTTACAATAATGATATTTTTTATATGATATGAAAGATTTGGGTGATATAAATGTAAAATGTGAAATATAGGTGTTAGATATATAAATATATAGGAATTGAGTGGTATGTATGTCAATGCCACTCAAAAAAGAAAAAGGAGGGCATTAGTACGTTGGGGCTGTCCTCTTATGAGGAATTCTCTCATCCTCATAACTCCGCAGGTCTTCATTTCTAGTGCGCTTGTTGAATATTGATCTATTCTGCAATATTTATAAACAAAATCTAAATGGTCAGTAATAACTATTTTAGGTACTCCAAATCAAAAGTTTAATAATAAGTTGACTAGAACATGAAATTCCAAAAGTCATAATTGGACAATGACAACTATATAAAATCAAACTAATCTCCTTTTCAAACTCAAGCTAGCATTAAATTTTCACTTCAGCAAATAAAAATACTCAGACCTCTAAATCATGACCGGCGACATTGTTCCAGAATTTGTGCAGCTCAGGATCGATTTCATGATCAGCTGAACCAACTCCATAACCCTTTGATCTGGAAGAGGATGCTTTTGCACCAACTTGGCTTTCCTTCGATAACACTTTGCTCTTCATCTTTACGCACAACTCCTTCCCTTTCTCTCCTGAAGACGACCTTCTTTTATTCTCCGGTTCCTCCTCATTCCAATCGTTCAATTCATCACCACCAAACGCCTGTCCGGATGGGTTCCCGCCACGCTCGGATAAGCTCTCTGCAGCGCTCTTGTTGACCAACCTCTTCCTCTGCTTTCCGAGCTTGTTCTCAACAGGCGCCGGTGTGGGCGACGGTTCAATACGCCATTCGTGGCCGCTTTCAATGTCCAATTGATTTCCGGTGTAATGCGAGGGCTGCCTATCCGAATGCGCGCCATATGAATCCATGAACGCCTCTCCGCCTTCATCTATGTTCCTGGTGTATAGAAATGCTAAACAAAATCAAAAAATATACTAACATTTTGCTGGACATTGCTGGAAAAAAGGTTTTGAAGCCCTAGGAATCAAATGCAGCACGTACGGATCGTTTTCGTAGCCCATTTCAGATTTAGGAGGCTAAAATTCACAGAAAAAATCAAATGTCTGCTCTGATGAACAAATCTCGCGGAGCAGTTTTCCATCTCGGGCAAGATGAACACTCGAATTCGAACCTCCAATGTTGATATGAATCGATCTTTGCTCTGTTTTTCTCTGCAATTAGAATCTCTTTCTCCTCTCACCTGCTCTTTCATTAAAGTCGGTAATAGGATCCCTCGCTCTTCTGATAAAGGCGAACAGAGAGTTTTTCGCGCCATGGAAGTTGCTGAAGAATCGCACTTCCGAGCTTAAGTGGCAAGGAGAGATTTGAATGCGTGTCAGCAGCGTGAAGGAGAAGGCCTCCGTCTCCGACGCCGCAGCTCTGTTCGCCATCCATGCCCTTCTCCGCTTAACTATTTGGGGACATTTGCACACATACCACACACTTCTTATACATTTATATTGCTCAGGTTTACACATTCATATTTAGGATAATTACGCACGGACCACTCCAAATATCCATGACGAATCATTCAGAATTCAATAAAAAAAAATAAAATAAAAAAAAAGGTTGAGATTTTTTCAATAATTTTTATATTTGATTGATTTTTAAATGACAATCTTTCTAATAGTTTACATAAGTATCATTCATATTTTTATTCCACATAAAAAATAGTACTATCATTTTCTCTTATGTTCAAACTGATCAGTAGACTCCTCCAACTCAGAAGGGCTCGCTCACAGGAATCCCAAAAGTACAGGTCTCATATGTTAATAATATTGAAAAGCTCTTATAATCCTAATTGAAAATGAAATCTCACAATTATACTCCCCTTTACTTTATCTATAAATTTTACACGTTTACACGTTCTTATTATTCATTATTGTGTTATCTCTCTATTTCTCTTTCTCTTTATTCATTGTGTTAATTGGCCATCTCCAGTAGCTCAGACAAGTTCTATATCAGCTAAACCAACTTCCTTCCTTAGAATTAAACAACCAAGTCATAGGATTTCGAGGTTGTTTGCTTATGCAACATAAATCATCACCTCATCTTTAGGCCTTTTGTACAACCATGTCGTACAATATAAGCCCTAACTCGTCTTAGAATTTCGAGGTTGTCGTTCGTCACGACCTAAATTCTCAGCTAAATCCTCACATCTTCCAGGCTATTTGTGTGATCGTTCCACACAAATGTAAGCCCTAAATTAATAAAATTGGCAGGATAAAACACTTAAATTTTTTTCCTCAAAACTAAAGTCAAACAATAGGACAGAGTGGGAAGACTCTGAGTTCTCCTACGGATCTATGTCATCCCCTAGTTCTTCCTTCTTTCGATTCTATAATAAAAATGTTTCAAATTTGAACAATTTCTCTTTCACACATCTTTGTCTGATTTTATTGAAAAGTCCTTTCCTTTGAATTCCTTGATGACTTCGGCCATTTAAGATGTAATTAACTATAGGGGCTTGCCCTTATAGGAAGTTTTTCTCGAACTCAGCTTAATATAAATCCTATTTAATTCTTCATATTAAATAGGGGAAATTGTCGGCAAATAAAACTGTTTCGCAGACCAAACGGACGTCATACATTTCTCAGTTTATTTGATCGAGTTTCATCCTCAAGTCTTGTGTTTATCCTTCAGGATAGATACATGGTTTGAGGTACAATGCTCTTTCATTTAAACAATGAAAAATATTTGGTCAGTTTGCTTTCATATTTTTCTAAACATTAAAATGTCCTTCTGAAGCGGGAGACGGGATTTTGATTCCGACTACCGACATCTTCTTACGGGCAACTCCTCAAACCAAAAATAGTGCCGACAAATCTTTTCTCAAATTCTCCACTAAACTCTTGAAGTTTCTTTGAATCTCTTCTCTTCTTACAACACTCTTAACTCTCAAAATCTAGAAACTAAAACTAAAATAAAGGTAGATATTGGTGTCTTACAGTCTCTCCCATAAATCACAGCAAAGAAGAATCTAAAAGAAACACTTGAAGAAACTAGAAGCAACCCCCCGAAAAGTTCCAAGCCTCTCTTTTTATAGTTTTCTAATAGGCGTCTTGGTATCTCTTAAAAATGTGTCCAAATTCGATGTATTCTCTAAATGATGCCTCATTTCACAAGTCTTTTAACCATATTTTCGTTTCTAGTGATTATAACCACCCTCTTTAGACAATAGGCGTCTCAAATGCACATTCAAAATTCATCAAAATGAATTAACCCGTCAAGTAATTGTCACTGACGCCTAAGCATGGGGCCTCTGGCGCTTAAGCGCGGCCTTCTCTGTTTCACGGGCGCTTAGGCGCCAAAATACTTTTGCACCATTTTTTTTTCATTTTTACTCCATATTTGATCCTTTTTCACTCATTTTGTCATTTTTCACCTTTTTAGTTGTACCTGAAGAAAAAACACAAATATCTTCCATTAAAGTGTAATATCTCAAAAATAGATATAAAAATGTTTATAAAAATACTATATATTTTAGGGGTATCAGTTACCTGACCCGGTGAGCTGGATGACAAGGATGAGGCGACCAATCCTATCAACTGACTGTTCTAGCAGGGTTATACAATCAGTTGACAAAGCATGAGTAGTTGGTCAGACGACCCTGCGAAGTTAGATGGATTTTGATGTCCCGTCTGTTGTAGAAATTTTTTGGTGGACGTGGACAGTTAACTCGAGTTCCGGGAGGTCCTTACTGGCTTCAGCTCCTCGGCTCCCGATGTTGGTCGGTTTGTTCCCTCTAGTTGTCTGAGTTGACTGTTCTGAGCTGACGGCTGACTGTTCGAGCCCCGCATGGATTACCTTTTCAATGTGTCTCATTTTGTTATGTCAAATCTTCTGAGCTTGTTGGATTCTTTTGAGTTTCGCACTACATGTTTTCGTGTATATATATATATTTTTTTATAAAAATATCTTCTTCTTTTAGGAATTTGTTTGCATAATTTATCTAGTGCCACAAGCTACTTGAACAAAATAATGAAATGCTTTTGAAACTAATACGCCCGTGCCACACAAATATTCAATAATTGTTCGACTCTGAGTCCTTATAATTTGTTGGGAAGTAAAAAAGATAAGCCTTGTTAGGGCTAACAAGCTCACAATTAAGTCATGTTATTTTTCTATATATAGACCTCATAACCATAATCCCTGCTGACTTCAAGAAAAAATAAACTTAAAAATAATAATAATAACATGTCTCCTTTTTTACTTGACTTGTGTAATCAGTTGGGGAAATAGATGTCATATGACATAGAATATATTTAAGTTATATTTAAGCCATGGAGATATATAATTAGAGCAATATATTCTGACCCATTTTCATTGTATTAATTATCTTAATTTTTTGCAAAACGAAACTGAAAATAGATCAGGTTTCATTGTTCTCTTGTGGGATACGAAGCTAAACAGGCTAATGACGGTCAAGATAGATAGATGACATTTTTTTTTTTGTTAATCTATAAATTAAACAATTCAGAAACACAAATTAAACTGCTAATGAACCTTTTTTCTTTTTATATTTTTTGGAGGGGAGGGAGTAAAGCGCATTTGCAAACATTCCACAAAATTCTCAAGTATTTACATAACATCTGAACATTTATATTTTCATTTACATCATAGTATCCAAATTTTTAACATCACATAAAAAAATATCATGATTATTTAATTTATATCTATATTTTCATTTACATCGTAGTATTTACAAATTCTACATATAGTATGATGTTTAATCATTTTTCAGACTGTTCTTGTCACACAGTTTGTAGATGAAACGCTATAACAATCTAGTTAGCTCTCTTTTTTCAGACATGGATATTTCTACACATGGTTATAGAGTTTCATTTACAAACTGTGTGACAAGAACAATGTCTGAAAAAAGAGATTTAACTTGATCAGTAAAAATAAATTACAATAATTAATAATTTATGTAAAATTTTAAAATAAAAAACTAATTTAAAAAAAGGAAAAAAAACTAAATGCGTAACTAATAGGAAATTAAGGCAAATAAAATGAAAATATTTTAAAATAAATTTGATAACTATTTACTTGAATTATGATCTTTCTTAAAATCACAAAATATTTTAATTAAACCTTCTCAAATTCGATCATTATGAAGATTTATGAAAAACTTTGCTTGATGTTGTTTGATTCCATATGAATAATTTCATATGGCTTTGAATTCATTAGACCTAAACTAGCTTCAATTAGCACCCTAGTAAAGCTTATGTCTAAACTTAGTTTTCCCCAGTTAAAAGTAGTAGGAACTTCTTAATCCTTATTAATTGTAACACTAGGCAACTCTAAGAAACATGGTGTGTTTCATACTGCAATAATTTTAGATTTTAGGTGTATCCATAGCCAGTGTAACTTAGGTTGCATTCGTTTGTCATACATAAACCCTAAGTGACGAGCCACATGCTTTTCGACCCACTTGGTGTAATACTAACGTTAGGCTCTTATGCCATACTTATTCTATTTTAGGTGATGATCTATATCCCTTCATAATTAACTACTCTAATCCTAATTTTAGATTTTTTTAGTGGTCATTGGTGTACTTTTCTTACTCATCATTGTTTATTTTAAATCAATCAATGTTGATGTCTTATATCTTATCTATATCTAGTGGAGCTTGGTGACGTAGTTTGGTTTCATTAGCTTAACTTAAACAACCATAGTTTTTACATTAGTTTAGTTTATTCCATTAACTTGAGGTGCAACTTAGAGTACTCTTATCCTTAATTGATCAATCTTATTATTTTATCATAGATTTAAAGAAATATTTTTTAATGAATTTATATTTTATGTCTAAAATTGATGTATGTATTGAAGATGGATTTAATCATATCAAAAATATTTTTTTTTTCAAATATATAAGAAATAAAATAAAATAAAAATAAAAGTGATTTCAAACTTATTGCCAATTGAACATATTCTGAAATCTAAAATGAGCATCGAACCAAACCCAAATATATCATTATCAAATTAACTAAAAACAAAACTCATTTGACCTTTTTATTATATTTATGTAATATTAAATAATGTAATTTAAATTTATATTAAACGCAAAAGTAATAATGATATTTATTATAAACCATATAATAAAATAGCATACTACTAATCTATTTCTAATATAACTAATAGAGGAATTATTTTATAAGGAATAGAAGAATTATTTTATAAGGTTAAACCAATCTTCAAAACAAATATCCATTTTACACACAAAAATTATTTTTTTGGTTAAATATATGATAAAATAATAAAATATTTATAAAAATAAATCTAAGATGTGCTATTATTTTATGAATTAGGTGTTGCATCGATGCATGTAAATGAACTTTTCTTTTATTTATCGCACATTTTGAGCAATCTATTATATGTGATGCAAATGATGTTAGTATCGTAAATAAACATAAATTTTATGAGGATAGCACGAAATATAGCCGAAATTAAGCATTGACTGTGAATGATTATGAGTAGCAATATGACTTTAAGAAAAAAAATTATGGGAGAAAATGAGGGTCGCGCCCAACCATATTGAATGAAATAAAAAAAAAACTGCAACACAATTACATAATAATAACTCACCCAAAAACTCAAATTACAACTCTAAACAAAAGATAAACAAACAAAAAACTTAATAAATAAAAAGCCAATAATGAGAACAGAAATAGAAAGGACGACAACCAAAACAATCAACAACATTAATTGGGCAAAAACACAACTAGATATAAGACAATGAACATTTGGAAGCAGCAACAATGCAAACCAATCATCAAAGATAAAGGAGTTTACCCTTTGAAATGTAACCATCGAAAAAATCTCCCCAACAAAGGCAAGAGCTCACCAAATGTGAAAATAAAGCTCCCCAATCAGCAACAACTCTAAACAACATCCAGGATCTCAAAAAAGATATTAAAAAATTAATAAAAATTTGTGAATTTATGCTACAATAAAGCCTTAAAAAAGTTGAAAAAAAACTTATAGGATACAAATAGAAAAACTAAGAAGTCATGAAAAACTGGCTCTCATGGATCCAGATTTTAACTTTTTTGTAGCAGGAATACTTTCTAATTATTAAAAGATTATTTGGGATCATTTTTATATTTTATTTTTTCTATTTTATTATGTTTATATTTTATTTTAAAATTAAATATATTTGATAAAATAAAATAAAAATTGTTATTGAAAAAACTCGAAGCATTTAAAAGATATTTTGAATGTTTTTAAAAAAAGTCTTAATTATTTTTAGAGAAAAAAAACATATAAAAATTCTTTTGGAAAAAAGATTGATCTCAAAAAAATCTTCAGAGATGATCATAAGTCAACATTTGTGTGTGGTAAAACAATCAACTGTAAATTTTGAAATATAAAAGCTCATTTTTATACTCGGTTCTTTAGTACGTTGAAGATTGCACTTTAAACAAAGGACGCCTCCTTTGAGCAATTAGTGGATCAAATGGTCGTCGACGCTGTAAAAAGAGAGTGAAACAAGCAAGGAAACTTAAGTATATCGACATAATAAATTAAATAAATGAGTAGGTATTAACATAAATGATAAATATTGTCAATGTAAAAAAGGAGAAGATTCAATTCTTATGTTCTTACATGTCACCTAAACTTCAATTTCTACATATACATCATCTTAATTGTGCATGAAAATACGTATTTCATTTTTTAAAAGTTTAAAAAGTAGTATTTTTACTGTGATATAAGAGATTTAGGGGTTAGATACGTAAATAAATAGGAATTCAGAGGTATCTACGTAAATGCCCTAAAAATAAATAAAAAAAAGGTTAAAGATGAACAAGCATGTAAATGAATTATTATCCGATAGAACAAGATCATTAGAAAATCTTCAGAATATCTAATTATAATAAGTGAAAAAGAAGGCATGTTTAATTATAAAGCTTCATAAAAGTAAGGCAATAAAGAATGATATGATTACTAAGATTTCAAAATTATAATAACTTAATTCAATCAATTAATTCATTTTAATAGTCTAACACGTATCTTTTCTAACAAAAATAAGCATTTTGTAACTTTAAAGAGTAAAATAATTCAGTCAAAAAATTGAGATTCTAGAATGTATGTTAGAAGCAAAGAAATGAACCTTTCGACGCATCTTATCTTTCTTAGCTTTCATAGCTGCTCTAATAGCTCGTGCACGTACTTCTTCCCAATTTACTTTTGATGGCGGATGCACAACAAAATCCAATGGTAATGGTTCTGGCAGAGAAGCACGTTCTCTAAGAGAAGTCTGATGTAATTTTTTCCTCCTAAACCCAACGAAAAATTAGGTGAGATGAAAAATAAACCAAAATATTATGAAAGCATATGCAGCATCCAAAGGAACTTACTGAGAAAATTCATTAATATCATTGTCTAATGAATCCTTCTCCGGAGATTTGTTCGCAGTTCTTCTAAATAAAACATTAAGGGATCCACAAAGATTTAAGTATGATATCAATAGACAAATCACTAAAATGTATATTAACTTTACAACAAAAAAAGGAACAACAAAAAAAGGAAAATTTGCATGCATACCCCTCAATTCTTATGTATTTACATACATCTAAACTTCAAGTTTTACATATACATATATGACACCTTATCCATGCATGAAAATATTTGTTTCACTTTTTTAGAGTTAAAATAAAGATATTTTTTATATGATATGAAAGATTTGGGTGATATAAATGTAAAATGTAAAATATAGGTGTTAGATATATAAATATATAAAAATTGAGTGGTATGTATGTCAATGCCACCCAAAAAAAAGGAGGGCATTAGTACCTATAAGAAATTCTCTCATCCTCATAACTCCGCAGGTCTTCATTTCTAGTGCGCTTGTTGAATATTGATCTATTCTGCAATATTTATAAACAAAATCTAAATGGTCAGTAATAACTATTTTAGGTACTCCAAATCAAAAGTTTAATAATACATTGAGCAGAAGATATAAGTTGACTAGAACATGAAATTCCAAAAGTCATAATTGGACAATGACAACTATATAAAATCAAACTAATCTCCTTTTCAAACTCAAGCTAGCATTAAATTTTCACTTCAGCAAATAAAAA